TCCATCTCCTCCTCCCCCTCCTCCTCCTCCTCCATCATCTTCTTCTTCCTCTCTCTCAGATGCATGCACGACACACACACCCATTGCACGTCCGTTAACACAGATCCACCCTGTCATTTGTCCCTTCTAGATGGTCTTTCCCTGGAGGTACATAACAACGGTCTTGTCCCATTCATCCTTTTTGACCGTTATCAACAATGCTCGATGAACATCTGTATATACATCTCTTTGCCTTCTTGTCCAGTTGTGTCCTGAAGTTCTGTCACCAGAAGGATTCATTTGCTGCATCAAATAGTATCCAGGTTTTCAAGGCTTTTGATACACACTGTCCTATTTCCTTCTAAGGAGACTGTCCCAAAATGCATTCCCATCTGCATTGTTTGAGAGACCCAGGTGCGCACCCCGCCCCCCGCCGAGGTATTTCTCTTGTTCAGTCTCACAGTCTGAGAGGTGAAAAATGCTGTTTTCAGTTGTTGAAGACTTCCTCTCCTGGCCGGAGTTTCCACACTCTTCCTACCTGGGTTTCCTGAGGCCCTACTACGTGCCCTAGCCATCCCTGCTACTGAGGAGGTTTCCCCGTGCAGCCCGTTCTGTGCCCGCTGCTTTGCTCCGCGTGTTTGGCCGCCCAGACTTAGAGAATGACAGACAGAGCTGGAGGGGACCTTAGAGATTGTCCAGTGCCCTCATTTTAAGGAGAGGAAACGGAGGCCAAGGAGGGGTGGGGGCTTGCTGTCGGTGCGATTGGAACTCTGAATTCAGGCAGGAATTCCAGCCCTAACGCTCCTCCTGATTTTCTCACCCATATGCTCAGAAGCACTGGTTGGTCCAGTTTAAGTCCTGGGTTCCATTCAGGGTCACCTACAGCAGGTGCTAAGAAAATATTTACCGAATGAATGTGCATAACAGAGCACAGGAAATAGTACATTTTGTGAAAATGTGCTCAACATTCCAAGAAGAAAGGATGTTTTGTTGGATGCCCCTCTGGGAAGAAATGCCTTTTTTTTTTTTTAATAAAAAGGAAAGTGAGTAGGCTGTTGGAATTGGTGTAGGAGGAGAGATGGTGCTGCCTGGGGCTTAGGGCAGTGTTTGTGTTTGGAGCTGTCGGGTCACTGGAATTTCCCTTCGGTTCCTCCGTGCTCCCAGAGGTGGACTGACAGACACAGGGTAGGGGTGGCAAGAGCTTAGTTGCCTTTGGTGGCTTGTGTGAATCTACACAGACTTCTTAAATGGTCCCTGGGGACTGTCTCAAGTCCTCTCCCTTATCCCCTTAGACCACGCCCCCTTGCCCTCGCCTTCACCCGAGGGTCCTTCTGGCTTTTATCTCCAGCACTTTTTCAGTGCTGCTCAGGCCCTTCAGGACACAGGAAGTGGCTTGGTCTACACAGAGACTGAAGTTTTGGTCCGACTGCATTTCTGATGGCAATGGGACCTTGGGCAAGTCACCCGTCCTTGCCATGTCAACCCGGCCATCTTTCTGTTCAGGCCAGACTGGCTCTCAAGGGGGCTCTTATCCCATCTGCCTCCTGCCACTTGCCTCCTTCCCATCCTTCCTCCTGCTGATGCAAACATGTTATCGCTCATCACAGGTAACCTTCAGGTAACCCCCTCTCCCTGCCCCCCGGCTTCCAGCACTCTGAGGGAGGGAGTACAAAGCCCCTTCCTAAGGCTGCCAGCCTGGGTGGTCTGGTTCAGGTGGACCTCTCTAGGCTTGCCTCATGCTTCATGCCAGCCACACTGACCTTTAACCAGCTGTGTGCCTTGGGCCAGCTCCTCACCCTCTCTGAACCTCTGAACCCCATCTGTAAGATAGACAACATGAGAATCCCAATTGCTCTGCTTGTTTGGAGGATAACAACCACTTTGAAATGACTCTCAGCTCCTTGGGGCCCTACTTTTCCAAAAGAAGTCACAGATTCCAAAGATCCCGATTCTCAATAAACCTTTTCTTCTGCAAAAGAACAGACTGCCTTTATTCCAAGCTCAGTTATTCCCAAAGAATGCTTTTTGTCTCAGTTATGTCTTGTTGTGTCTTCACCTAGGCCAACAGTGTCTACAGATCGAGAATACATTTATTTATGCCACTTCCTTAATAGGGGTTGTGTTGTCACATCCGTTGTCATGCTTTATCTCTGTCATTGCTTTCTTTTGGGAAGAATAATCCCACATGTATGAATACCATGCTTCCTCACACACAGCCCTCCTGTAGCCAGATTGTCACAAAAATATTATTCTGGGAAGCAAGGGTCTGACCCTAGTGATTAATTTACTGGGGGATGTTCTTGGGGAATCCATTAATCATTTTCTCAACACATTTTATTGATAGGTATGTACAATAGGTAAGGTGATGGGTAAATATAATCTATCCCATCGGGGGTGCTTAAGGAAAACCCCTCCCTCATCCCACCATGGAGTGGGGCAGGTATGTTTTACCTCCTAGAATTAGGTTCTCAGATGGCACAGATCATCAAATTCTGGAAAACTAGAAGGATGAGATCTCAGACAGTAGATGATCTTGACCAGCCCTCTCATTTTACATATGGGGAAACTGAGGCTCAGGGAGAAAGTCAAGATCACTTAATCCTCACCTGAGTAGTTTGTAACTTTAATCTGTAATTTGTGTGAGAGACTATTAATTAATGTGTTAAACACAAGACAAAAGACCCAAAATGAAGTTGCTTATGCTAAGCCCTACATCACCAAACCGAGATTCAGTTTCAGCTCACCCAGGGATGGAATTTCAAACCAGTCAGTCTGGTACTACCTGATCAGCACTAGTGAGTATCTGCCTGATAGACCCCTGCCATTCCCTATAGTGAAAGTAACCTGGCAGTAACATTTTGTTGCCAAGAATAACTTCGTGTTCTGGGGCTCCCTTCTGCCTAGAAATACCTTTCCCCATTTTGTAAAGCTCCTCGGAGGTTCTTTTTATCTAGTAGATGGGATACTGTCTGATTCATGAATTGCTGAATAAAGCCAGTAAGATCTTTAAATTTTATTCATTTGAATTTTGCTTTTTAATGATATTATGATACAACTTCCAAGGGCAAGAAAAAGACAACTTTCACCTCCTCCCAATGCTGCTGGAATTCCCAGGCCCATCCTGGAACGCTCACTCAACTAGAACCCTAGGACCAGGATGGAGTAATGGTCTGTCCCTAGGATGTCCTGGCACAGGGCTGTAATTGTGGATTCAGGAAACCCAGTCATTGACTAACTCAATTCCACATAATTAAAAGAAGGAGAAGGGAAATGTCAGGAGGAAGTATGCATTTAATTTTAAAGAGCCTTGTTCATTTTTGAATCCTCACCTTTTTTTTCTGCCTTAATTCTTGGCCTCTGTAAATTACTTTAACACCCCCCCCCCCCGGTTTTAGAATAGAAAAGGAGTTAGGAGTCAGAAGAAGCTGTCTTTAATATTTCATCTTCCTTTGGCATCATGTAGGATTTTAATTTCGAAGCATGGGCAAAGAGGCAGAAAAGGCTTCAGGCCACAGACGAAAAGAATCAATTTAAAATGAAGATAGATTTTTTTTCTTTTCTTGAGATCTTTCCCCTAAAACTACCTAAAGAATGAAGCCCTCTGCCAGTGCTGATGAGAACAGAGGGCATTTCTCGTTCCTTAGAAATGGGTATAGGAACAAAAGTATTCCAAAGCAAGGACTTACTTGAATTCACTGCTAAATCGAGTATATCAGGCTCTCGGGAGGGAAAAATAGGCGCTGAAATTAACCTGATGTTTGGGAAATGTCAGTTAAATGCCTTTGCAACTTCATCACCATCTACTCAGGGGAAAATACCACTATTCCAGCGCTATTCAAGCTTCCCGTTTGCCTGAGAGGAGCTTCCAAACCAAGAAAGGAAGAAACCAAGCGGGTTATTTATGAGCTCCTTCCCTCTTGCAGTTTTATGCCACTGTGAAAGAAGCCTGTTTGTTGCCGCTCTGGGGCGAACCCGGGGCGAGTTAACCCGACTTGGCAGGGGTTGGCGGGGCCGGCCCTCCGCGCCTCCCAGCGGCCTCGTGTGGTGGTGCAGCCCCGGTCCCAGGCTGCAGAAAAGCGGGCCGCCGGCAGACACCGCGGCATCCTGACGCTGTCAGCGCGCACAGCTTGGGCTGCGCTTCTCGCTCGCCTTCTGTCCCTGTCCAGTGACCAGTTAGGTGCGGGCGAGGGGAATTCCAGCTGAGGCTTCCGAGTCTGAGACCTCACGATAGTATCAGACTGGGTGCCGCCCGCAGCCATCCCAACCTGGCCTGGGAGCGCACGCGTCTTCGGAGCTGTCCGCGGCGGTGCAGTTTCCCCAGGGAGCCAACTTTAGGCCAGCTGGAGGACTGGGTGCAGGTAGCTGGGTTTTGCGCACGGGTAGACGGGTTGGCTGGGGCTGGGGGAGCCATTGGAACCCGAGTGGAGGTGGTGGGGTGCCTCGCGCCCCTGGCACCTGGAGGCACTCCCCGTGCTCCCACAGACTGCAAAGAGACCGCTCAGGATCAAGATGCAGAACCCTTAACTGTCGAGGGCCAAGACCACATCGGCTTCCTGAGGCCGCTGGGCTGGGGAGGATCCTCATGGGAGGGCTTCCCGGAACAGCAGTTGGGCGTCCTGGGGGTAGGTATTGAGACCGAAGTTCTTCCAGGAGGGACCGCTGGAATGGGGGTCCCACCGAAGCAGTCGCTGTGGAAGTTCCGGGGGTGAGAGGTGATGGCTAAACCTCTTAGAAATAGGAGGTTGAAAGGGGATGGTTCTGAGCTGGGGTTTCCCAAGCAAGTGGCTGTTTGGGGGAATCTCTGGAGGAAGTAACTGGAGTAAGGAGAGATGGCTGTTTGGGGCGTCTTGCGGGAAGATGCATGTGCTGAGGGTCGGGGGTGAGGCGGGGCGGGCAGCTGCTTTAGGGCTCTCTGGGAGAGGTGGCTGTTGAGGAGGCCCAGTCCCGGAGGAGAGTGATTAGGACCCTCCCCTCTCCCCCAGTACAAGTGACTTAAAATCTTAAGGAACTGGCAGTGTGGTAGATTCCCGCTCATTTCCAGTGGCTCAGAGGAGGTACCTCAAACGGGGATTTCTGGGGTGGCGGCTGAACCACCCCCGGGCTGGCGGTTGTGCCCCTAGTCCCAAATAATGTGGGAAGGGGACAGCTGAGCCGCACGTGCGTAGGGAGATAAGTGCTTGGTCTTCACAGGGGCCTCTGGATTGTTTCAGGCTCGGACCAGCAAATCGGCCCTCTGGAGTTTCAGGGAGTGGAACCCGAGGAGGGCCCCCCACCCCCGCCACCCCCAGGCGCGTCGGGCCCCACCCCGCCGCACTGCTCCTTAAAGGGCTTGAAGACCAGGGGCGCACGGCAGCAGCCACGGTCATGGAGGGCGCGCTGGTGGCCAACTGGACCGCGGAGGCGGTCAACGGCAGCGAGGCGCCTCCGGAAGCCGAGGGCAACCGCACCGCCGGGCCCCCGCAGCGCAACGAGGCCCTGGCGCGCGTGGAGGTGGCCGTGCTGTGCCTCATCCTCTTCCTGGCGCTGAGCGGCAACGCGTGCGTGCTCCTGGCGCTGCGCACCACGCGCCACAAGCACTCGCGCCTCTTCTTCTTCATGAAGCACCTGAGCATAGCCGACCTGGTGGTGGCAGTGTTCCAGGTGCTGCCGCAACTTCTGTGGGACATCACCTTCCGCTTCTACGGGCCCGACCTGCTGTGCCGCCTGGTCAAGTACCTGCAGGTGGTGGGCATGTTCGCCTCCACCTACCTGCTGCTGCTCATGTCTCTCGACCGCTGCCTGGCCATCTGCCAGCCCCTGCGGGCGCTGCGGCGCCGCGCGGACCGCCTGGCCGTGCTCGCCACGTGGCTGGGCTGCCTGGTGGCCAGCGCGCCGCAAGTGCACATCTTCTCGCTGCGCGAGGTGGCCGACGGCGTCTTCGACTGCTGGGCCGTCTTCATCCAGCCGTGGGGGCCCAAGGCCTACATCACGTGGATCACACTCGCGGTCTACATCGTGCCTGTCATCGTGCTCGCCGCCTGCTACGGCCTCATCAGCTTCAAGATCTGGCAGAACTTGCGACTCAAGACGGCGGCGGCGGCGGCGGCGGCTGCGGCTGCAGAGGGGCCGGAGGGCGCGGCTCTGGCACGGGTCAGCAGCGTCAAGCTCATCTCCAAGGCCAAGATCCGCACGGTTAAGATGACCTTCATTATCGTGCTGGCCTTCATCGTGTGCTGGACGCCATTCTTCTTCGTGCAGATGTGGAGCGTCTGGGACGCCAATGCGCCCAAGGAAGGTAGCGCTGGCGGGGAAACCCGGAGGAGGGAGCGCGGCGGGGCGGTGTCCTTGTCCTGCCTCCTCCGCACCGACAGGGTTCTGGGGATCTCGTGCAGGGGATGCGGGCTTTGGAATCCTGCAGAGCTGGGTTTGAGTCATGGCTCCATTATCCATTGGCCAAGGGATTTGGGGCTTAACTTCCCTGAGCCTTGACTTCTTCTTCTGTAAAATGGCCATAATGATGAAAGTACTGGCTCTCATCCGGGGGATGAAATGAGAAAATGCACGCAAAGTCCTTAGCACAGTCCTTGGGCTACATAAGGGGCATATGGTTCCTTATTATGGATGGGAAAACTGAGGTTCAAGTGACTTTCCCACCTGGTTAGCAGTGGTGGAAGTAACTTCCGAACCGCGGTCCAAGCTCGGGCTCTCACCACTTTAAATTTACTTTATGTTGAACTTCCCCTTTAAGTTCAAATCAACCTGAGCACCCGGGGTCTGGTTTGGATGAGGGCAGCGGGAGGTGGGCTATTTGATTCGTCCAGCTTGGCGCTGAGTACCTGAGTAGGTCCGGGGCGGGGTGTTGTGGGGATGTACGGTCGAGTCGCCGAACCCCTGGCCCGTTGGAGGCGGTGAGTCTCAAAAGGCAGAGAGGTGAGTGCCGGCGGGGTGTGTGGGGGGGTGGGGGGCGGTCTGCCAGCAAGCGGGGGCTGGGGGTGCCCAGGGCCAGATTCGGTTGCTTGTGCTGTGGGGCGGGGAGGAGTGGGAAAAGGATGGGAGCCCCAGTACAAAGATGCAAACTTCCCAATTTGATCTGGGAGGCTGGGTGATTTCTGTGGGGAGGGAATGCGCTCTCCAAATGGGAGGACTGCGGAGTGCTGGGCTGAGGGCGGTGTGGAGAAGACCTGGAGGGGAAGGTAGAATGGGCTGGTCTGTGGGGAGGGAGCTTGGGGGAGCAGAGAGCGCCTTGGGTCCTGGGGCTTGTGGCCAGCGCAGGGCTGCTGGGAGCTCCAGGCAGCTTCGCCTTCATTGCACACAATTCCAGTAGCTTATCTGCAAAGATCAGGAGGGATGATCAGTGATGGTGAATGACTTACACGTTTTGTTTGAGGGTAAGCCCATAGCACTGCACTGGGATGCAGGTGACTCTAATGATTCTAAGAGTAGATCAAGGGGTTTGTTTTTACCCTTTTTGCAGAAATGTCCCATTTCTAAATATAATCACTCCTGCTACCAGAAGTCTAAAATACACCCATCCCATGGAAGCTGAAATCTCCCTTCATTCAGCTGGATAACTTTGCTTTGTTCTCTTCCAGAAACCACAGACTCCTGGCTTTACCCAGCCCTGCCTATTAACCTAGCGCTTTTCTTAGTGGCCTAGGCAATTATCATTCAGCATATACGGAGCACCTGTGGTACAGCAGGCTCGGGCAGTGTGTGTGTGTGTGTGTGTGTGGGGGGGGCGGATTGCTGTGCAGACGCAGCAGAGCCAGCCCTGCTCCACGTTGCAGAAAGGCTTCAGGGGTCCAGAGGGGGAAGGTGCTTGCTCCAGGTCACACAGCCAATCGGAGGCAGACTAGAGCTGGGGGTTCCTGCTCCCACCCCAGCTCTTTCCTCCTGTGCCAGCCTTCTGATGAAGGACACAGAACTAGGGAGTTGGGCTGGGCAAAAGCCAGCAGTGGGTGTTTCTAATTAAGGCATCAGGCTACACTTATTTCCCGGGCGGGAGCCAAAGAGATGCCAGACCCGGGTCTTGAGGAGCTCTAACGCCAGTCCTTGAGGAAGTGAGACCGATACTGAGCAGATACTGGGGAGCCCTCCCTCTAGCCCTTACTAATGTGGGACTTTGGGTGAGGGGCCCCCTTCTCTCCCTTGACCCTTAGTGTGTCGCTTTTAGAATGAGGACATTTCAACATTCAGTTCATTCATTCCTCTCTCTCTCCCCTGGCCTCTGCCACTCATTTTTCTCCCTGGTGAATTTTTCTCCCTCCTTCTTTCCCCCACCCCCTCTTCATATGACTTCTTGTTGTCCACCCCCTCACCTGCTCTCCTCTTCCTATTTTCCTCCCTAAAGAATGAGAGTATATGGTCAACACATATCCTAATCACTGAGTGAGGTTTTGATCTTTCCTACGCTTTAAAAGGACATCAGATAATCCATGTCTTTGTCTTAAAACACAGGAAGAGAGAGACAGAGCATCCAACGAAAGTGGGGGCCAGAGGTGTTTTGGGTACATGTGGTCCCCTGAGGATTTCCCTTCAGTAGAGCCAGGCTCCTGCTCTCAGACTCCAGGAGCAGGGAGAGAAATAGACTCTAGGAACCTCAGGTCTTCCCTCTGTTCCTTTGCTTCTTTCCCAGTTCAGAGGAAAGGGTAGGTGCCACATGGAAAGCCCGGGTCCCCCTCATCCTCCTCGGCACCCTGTCTTGGGTGCTCCAAGAAGAGAACAGATGCAGACAACAGGGCAGGGGATTCATGATGCCGCTCCTGCGAGGAGCGGGCACCCAGTCCCCGTGTGACGGGCCTATCAAGCACCGAGGACTTGGGCTCTGGTCGCCAGCCTGGCCAAGTCGTGCCTCGGCCTCAGGGTTGCAGTGGGGATCTGAGTGGACCGCAAGCTCCGTGCCCACTTGGCATTAATTGGGATAATGCAAGTAGCAGCCTGGGCCATCAGAAATAATGGTGTTTACAGTCCCTTTGGAGACTTGACTCTGTCTGGAGGCTATTGGCAAGTGTTAAGGAACAAAACAAAGATACAGCTGAGCTACTCAAGAGATTCTGATCAGCACTGGGGAAGGAATGCACAGCCCTCACTTTCCAAGAGGAAGGGAATTGAGAAGAGATGCAAAATATCTAGATCTGGGCCCCTTGCTCTGCGCATCTCCTGGGGGGTGGAGGCTGGAAGTTCAGGAAGCCCAGGAGAGCAGCCAGACATTCTCCCAGGAGGCTGGGGGGCAGGTTGGTAACAGAGAGAGGTGGAGGGAGTGGGATGCATGTGGCATCGGTTCCTGCCAACAGCTTCGTCGTGAGAGCCTCTGAGGGAAGGAGAAGCTCTGGAACCACAGGCTACAGATCATGGGCTGACAGAGGGGCTGGAGAAGGCACGCCTGCCTTGGCAGCTGGCCGCGTGGCCCTTGGCCGGCCTCACAGCCTCTGCCTCCGCGAGGGTTTGTGCGCCCTGGCTTTCTCTCCAAACCCAGGCGTTCCTTTCACACATCTCTCCTTTGATGGACTTCTTTCCCTGCTATGCCTTTGTTCACACCCAGCGCCGTCTTTACGGGTTTAGAGCTCACCTTGCTCCAAAAGTAATGAGAGGTTGGCCACAAAGATTCGGGTATTGTGGCCAAAGTAGATACAAGGAGACCTGGATGAAGGGGAGAAAAAGATAGGAAGATTATAATATAATCATAGTAATAATAATAACGAAGGCTCTGTGTGTGGAGGTGAGCCGCACACGGGGCTTCCTTTTTCTAAGAGCCAGAGCAAAGAAGGACACTCTCAATTTCCATATTTCCATTGTTCAGAAGGAAAACAGAGAAAAGGGAGAGGAGCATCGTGGTAATTAATGAGCTCCTCCCCACCCAGAGCAGCCCCCTGCTGCTGGAGCCCTGCTTTGGTGAGGCTGGTGAGACCAGACACCCAGGGCATGTGTGGACCAGCCGCATATGTATCTTCACAAGCAAATTCCACTGTCAAAGATTTGGCGCCAACCTTTTCCCTTGAACTCAGTGGGATTTGCTTTGCTGCTGGTCCCAAGGACTTGGACCTGGGGTAGTTGGGAGGGAGGAGGTAGAGAGGGGGCGTGTCTGTATTTCCAGGGGTTCACTGATGCTGCTTGTTTGTGGTGGGGCTGATTTTGAGTCTTCAGCTCTACTTTTTTTGAAATTCCTGGTCCAGTAGGCAGAGATGAGAGAGGAGGGGGGACAGGTTGGCAGATGGGGCAGGGGTTGCCACCCGTCCACACAGAGCACTATTCGTGGCTCCTGTCTCTTCACCAGAAGGTGCCTGGAAACTAGGGGAGAAGCTTTTGAATTAAAAAAAAAAAATCTCACTCACACTTCACAGATGAGCCATATGCAGAATAGTCCCCTTTTCTCTCAAACTAGCTGATTTCCATGGGAGCAAGAAAATGCCCAGAGAACAGGGTGGGGACGTCCAGTGCACAGAGACTGCAGAAGGACCAAGGGACCTGTCTGGTGGGCCAGGACAGCCGGCAGGCGCTGTGGAACCCTGCATGGTTTGTGCAGGGAAAGAAGCATGTGGCTGGCCTGTGTTTGGAGCTTGCCCTGCCCTTTTCTCCTGTGTCCTTGAGCAAGCTGTTAGACCTCTCTGGGCCTCAGCTTCCTCCTGTGTGTAATCAAGGAAGCAAAGCCTACCTGTAGGGTTGTTAGGAGAATGACCTAATGGTGTGCCTCGTGGCACCTGGGGGCCATGTGATCAACGTCACTCTCCTCTTCCCCCATTCTACTTGTTATGAGTTTTGCTTGCATTCTTGGGATTGACTCTGAGAATCTTGGCAGGTATTCCTGAGGGAGGAGATGGGCATTTTTCTCCTGAGAGCCCAGGCGGAGGGGGTGGGAGGGAAGCAGAGCCTGTAGACAATAGGCAGTGCGTCCAGAGAAGTTGGTATGTGGAGGAGAAACTTGTTAAGGCTGGACTGTGAGCCTGGTCACAACAGTGACACCTTCTGTCCCGCTAACTGGTGTGTGTCCAATGCCGGGCACAGGGCTGGGCACCCATTAGGAGCTCAGCCAATGCTGGTTGAACAAATATGAGGGATATGGGAGGAGAAAGGGGCTCAAGATGGGCTGGGATGTGTGTGTGTGGATTTGGACTCCGGAGAAATCAGGATCTTCTAAGCAGCCCTCCAACACTGGAACTGGCTGCCTGGTGAAGAAGCGAGCGCCCAGTCACTTGGGGACAACCAAACATCTGTCAGGAGTGTTGTACCAGGAGGAAGGTGGAAATGCACAGGAGGCCTGGTGTTAAGTGTTTCCCTGTCTGAGAATGAACTTCCCAG